ATTTGACATTTGGCCTTTTAACATTTTCCAGCCATCTTGAACCACCGGTCATACATGCATGACTGTCCCATTGGGCAGCACTGGTGATACTAATAAAAAGCTGCCCAAGGGAACAGTCACGCATTTACTACCTTTGGTTCAAGCCATCTCACAGTGAGACATACAAATTCCAGCCCTGCTGTGAATGTGTTCAAAAATATTAGCCTATGGTTTGAGGGAACCTGACAGCTCAAGCTCAGCCTGGGTGATTTACAATGACCCTGTTTCAAAATTAAAATTAAGAAAACTAAAAACGTGGGCCTGGGATGTAATTTATCAGGAATGCCTTGGGTTTCAGTACTCCCTCCCCCTCTCCAAAGGATTCCTTTAGTCTTTAAAATAAAACTTAGGAGATAAAGGTAGAGGGTAGAGGAGGGATATTTAAGGGAACAACACATTTTTAGCAACTTTATTTATGCTAATATTAGGTCCATCAGCAGAGAGCTGTTGTGAAATACTGGTTTTTAGACTTTGTACTTGTTTCTCATTACAGGGGATATGAAAGGTGAGGTGTATCCATTTGGCATAGTTGGGATGGCCAACAAAGGGGATTGCCTGCAGAAAGGGGAGAGTGTTAAGTTCCAGTTGTGTGTCCTGGGCCAGAATGCACAGACGATGGCCTACAACATCACACCCCTGCGTAGGGCCACAGTGGAGTGTGTGAAAGATCAGGTAAGTACAGCACTTCTGCATCTGAATTTGAACCTTTTGAGATTTGGTAGCCAAAGCCTTGACCATTTTTTAGCCAAGGAGGCATCATCATCATTCATTTGGTTTTTTACTTTATTCCATGAAATGGTTTGGTTATTTTGTTTTGATTTGGTTTCTTGTTTTTTGAGACAGGGTCTTGCTATGTAATTCAGGCTGGCCTTGAACTCTATGTAGCCCAGCTGGCCTTAAACTCAGGGCAGTCCTTCTGCCTCAGCCTTCCAAGTGCTGGGATTGTACGTGTATGACACCACAGAGTGGTTTGGGATAGTTTATAAAAATAGCAAGAAAATGACAAGAAAAAACAACTATCTTAGCAAAGAGAATATAAGAATTGATAATCATTAAGAACTAATACTACATGGTGAGGAAAGTAAGTTTGGAGTGAAACCAGAATAAAAGAGCTATAGATCTTCTTTGGTAGCACACACTTAGAAACCATGTTTCAAAGTGTTCGTAAAATAAGCTTAGAGCACCATACTAGTCTTAGTACTGAAATCTCAAGGAAATCCCTGAGTTTACAGAGAATGTTTTTCAACATCTATATAATGAATATAGGGATACCTAGGTTGTGGAGCTCAATTAGTTCAACATTCGTGTTTGAACACTAAAAAGTATGAGAACTGAACATATTTTCCCATAAAAAATAAAGGGAGGCCTAGTGTGGTGGTGCATGTCTGTAATCCTAGTGCTCAAGAGGCTGAGGCAGGAGGATTGCTGCGAGTTTGAGGCCAACCTGGGCTACAAAGTGAGTTCAAGGCCAGTCTGAACTGTGTAGTGAAACCCTGTCTCAAGAAAAAAAAGAGATAATGGAAAGCCAAATTATTGGCTGTGAGGCCCAAAAAGTACACTTTATAAATTCATTTTTCCAGGTCTTTAACAGATTTTGCAATGATTTAATTCTGGTGCATTTCTCACAATTTTGGTCCCTGGTACTGCACCCCAAATTTAATATTTATTTTATTTTTATTAAGTATTTGCAATGCATAGTAATTGTATTCTTCATGGAGAGTTGATACATGTACATAACACACTTTAGTTCTTTTTTTCATTCCCTTCCCCTCTCCTACCTCCTCTTTCCCAAATTTTAAATGTACTGCAGAACAGAGCAACCTTTTGTTTTCGCCAGGCATATAATAAAATGCATGGTAATGATTTCAGAGACGTTTCTTCCCTGGCAAATTTTGCCACTTGAGCAGTTGAATAATCGAGTAAGGTATTAATACCATGTTTTATAAATCCTCCTTTTGATTAGGCATTGTGCTTCAAAGTGAGGTGGTTTTTTTGTTCTTCTAGAATGTACTTTTTTTTTTTTTTTTTTTAGCTTTTTTTGTTTGTTTCTTTTTTAGTTTGGCTTCATTAACTATGAAGTAGGAGATAGCAAGAAGCTCTTTTTCCATGTGAAAGAAGTTCAGGATGGCATTGAGCTACAGGCAGGAGACGAGGTGGAGTTCTCAGTGATTCTTAACCAGCGCACTGGCAAGTGCAGTGCCTGCAATGTTTGGCGAGTCTGGTAAGTTTGTTGTGATTGGATTAATAACCATGCCGGACTGTCTCTTAATTTCTGTAGTCTCAGCTTTATTGCCTTTCTTTATTCTTCCATGCCTGGTTACCCCAACTCCCCTTTTTGTCATTTAGTTATTTCTTGATACTTTCTGCTTCTGGTCTTGTTTCTACCATAAGTCTTCCATAGGTGACCTTTAGTCATAAATCTGGCCCCAGTGAAGCACTTGGGCACTATACAAAGCTAGATCTTAAGTATAAAAAGATTGTAGTATCTGATCTTAAAGAATTCTGCTTATTAGCTCCTTCTGTCAAGCCATTTCTAGTATATATGCTATTAAAATTAGGATGTTTACCTGGGTGGGGTAGTATAGGCTGTAATCACAGCACTCAGGAGGCTGAGGCAGGAGGATTGTACCTGGTCACATACACACACACCTAATTTCTATACTTTAAGTTATCCTGATTCCTGTACCTTCCTTTAAAAAATAATCATGTTACTGTGAGAGGAACTGAGACTCGTAACTGTTTCTTTGTATTTCACTTTAAGCTTTTCAGCATGTGCTGGCTTGTTATGTGTGTTTGTGGAATTGGTCTCTGGTTGCAGGCAAGTCTAGGGTTGACCCTCACTCAGATAATTCTTCCTGCTCCTATACAGTTGGAACCTTGAGTTGGGAAATAGATTTAAAACAGACACACAAACTTGTCTGTCTTGTCTTTCTAGCTGTCTAGATGAGACAAGGTTCCCGTTTATTACACATGAGTCATTTCGGCAGTTAGGAGACATGTTCCTCTGCAAGCACTTGCTCTCTTCCCACCAAGTATTGTTTCTTCTCGACTTGTTATAGCGAGGGCCCCAAGGCTGTTGCAGCCCCTCGACCTGATCGGCTGGTCAATCGCTTGAAGAACATCACCCTGGATGATGCCAGTGCTCCTCGCCTAATGGTTCTTCGTCAGCCAAGGGGACCAGATAACTCAATGGTATGATTCTGTACAAGACCTGGTGGAAGCTGATCAACACTGTTTGCAAGTCCTTTGCCAACATAGACTAGAGAACTAGTGAAGCAGGGAGCTTCACATAGCTAGTTGAGGCTCCTTACACATTGTTACTCCCTGACATAATGGTTGCTTTCAGTAAAAAGTACATTTCTGCCCTTCTACTTTGTACACAACTAAGGTAATGGGTCAAGAGGGTTTAAAATAGGTTTCTCCTCTGGAAGAACTGCTAGTGGTTAACATGATTTAAAATTCATACTTTCATGTACATTTTGGAATTCTGAATGTACTCTTCATTCTCATGTATCCAGTTCGTTAACTGCAACAATTTTATTTCTTACAGGGATTTGGTGCAGAAAGAAAGATCCGTCAGGCTGGTGTCATTGACTAACCACGTCCACAAAGCACATCCTTAATCCACTATGATCAAGCTGGGGGGACTCTGGTGAAGGGTTCTGAATATCTCCCTCTTCATCCCTCCCAAAATCTGGAAAACTTATTCTATTGAGCTATTACACCAGTTTTAACACCTTCCTCGTGTTATGTTTAAAAAAATAAATAAATTTAAGAAACCATTTTAAAATTATGCACAGTTGCAGCCTGGAGAACTTAAGGTGGCGCCTTATAGTATCACTTTAGGAGCTTTATTTGGTGCATTTAACGCAACTGGTAATTGCAAAATCCACTTCGCCTGTATAAGTGAAACAGACTGTTACCTTATTGGCCCTATGAAATTCTGCACTTGATGATTTAGTATATACTCTACCTTCATTACTCCTAGCGAGATGTTCTGCCTTAGCAGTCAGTTGCATTCTTTTCCTTTTCTTTCCTGTTCATTATGCTTTAATTCTGAGGACCATAGGAGGGTAGACTATAATACATTTTAAAAATTACAAAAATTTATATAGGCAAACCATTTTCTTATGTTGATGGCCAAATGTTAAAATGTTATTTTTCATATCATTTATAATCTTGTCACAATATACTTAAAGTTTGGTTAGATTTCAGTGAAAATTATCTTCCAGAGTAGTTTTTTCTCCCCGGGATGGGGTTGATAACTTTACAATTAGTATGTATGGTGCAGAATTTCATGCAAATGAAGTGTGCCAGGAGTGTGATAATTTAATCGTATTTAAAAGAAAAAAAGACGAATGCACAAATTTGCTGCTGCTTAGATCACTGCAGCTTCTAGGACCCAGTTTCTTTTACTGATTTAAAAACAAAACAAAAAAATAAAAAAAAAAGTTGTGCCTGAAATGAATCTTGTTTTTTTTATAAGTAGCCGCCTGGTTCTTGTGTCCTGTTGAATACAGGCACCTGACCCTTGGTGTAGCTTCTGTTCAACTTTGTATCACGGGAATGGATTGGTCTGATTCCTTGGCCCTCATCTTGAATTGGCTAGTACAGGGTCCATAGCCAGTGGACTGAAGGCTTTGTTTTAAGATGACAAGGGTCAGCTCAGGGGATGTGGGGGAGGGCGCTTTTATCTTCCCCGTTGTTTGAGGTTTTGAACTCTGGGTAAAGAGGCCATTTATCTTTGTACACACGAAACATTTTTGCTTTCTCCAATTTTCTGTTAACGGCGAAAGAATGGAAGCGAATAAAGTTTTACTGATTTTTGAGACACTAGCACCTAGCGCTTTCATTATTGAAACGTCCCGGGGAGGGAGGCGCGGGGCTGGGCGCGGCCGTCCTCGTGACTCTAGGTTATAGGCCCACGTGGCCTGGGCGGGGACTGGGCGCAGGGCGCCGGCTGATTACGTAGCGGGCGGGGCCGGAAGTGCCGCTCCCGGGTGGGGGCTGTTCATGGCGGTTCCGGGGTCCTCAACGTTTTTTCCGGTTGAGATCCTAAATCTGTCTGAAGCTGGGACAGCAGAGCTTGAGGTAAGGCTCCGATGTGCGTAGCGTCGGGCCTTGGAGCATACCGACGTCCCATTGATGCCAGGGATCGAGCCGAAAGTAGAAGTGGAGACAAAGGCCTTGGGCGGGGGTCTTTCGTTTGGGGCGGTGTGCCGGGCGATCTTTGGAGACGAGTGGGGAATGGGAGGGGGTCGCGGTCTGGAGACATCCCCAGAGCTGAGAAGACTGGCGGAGTAGGAATGGGGGCTCCTTTACCTTCGGCTGAGGGCGGGGACCAGGCACGGTTGAAAAATAGACGCGGGGTGGGGTTAGCTAGAAGGCTTTTAACTCGGGAATCTGTTGCCACGTTAACCCGCAAGTATTTTTGCTTCCTGAATCACTCCGGAGAATTCAGTGGAAGGTCATGTGTATGGAACCGATATATTCCCAACTGGTTTAGTTACTATTGATTATAGAAGGCTTTGAAATACTATAGAATCTAGCTTGCCAATTAACCCTAATTACTGCTTTCCCATAGGTTCTTGCTGGTGTGAAATGACTGAGTATAAACTGGTGGTGGTTGGAGCAGGTGGTGTTGGGAAAAGTGCACTGACAATCCAGCTAATCCAGAACCACTTTGTGGATGAATATGATCCCACCATAGAGGTGAGGCCCAGTGCTCATCCACAGGCTAATACAGCTCTCACTGCTTTTCCCTTACCTGTAACTTTTACCCATTTTTTTTAGAAGCATTTAAAAGAGCTGAAAGAAAAAAGTTATTTTGTATTCCTTAGTAATCAATAAAGCATTTTCTGTACAATTCATTTTTATTAGGTGCTAAAGATTTTAAGTTTACAGTTTTAACAGCTGTGTAAACTTGCAAATTCAGTGTCGAATTTATTCTTTTTCTTCATATATGAAAACTATTAGAGGTAAATAGCTTAAGAAATTGATTTTATAAGAGATAATATTTACTATAGAAGTACTGCATGACAGTGTGTAAGTGATGTCTAAGTCTCTAAGTTTTGTAGTTTTGTGCAATTTAGAAATGTTTTAATTCTACCTTGGTATGGTGGTGCATAACTGTAATCCCAGTACTCAGGAGGCTGAGGCAGGAGGATCACCAAGGCAAGCCTGGGCTACATAGCAAGACCCTGTCTCAAATACTTCTTATGGTTTTTTTTTTTTTTTTTTGTACTGGGAATCAAACTCAGGACCTCTCCCTTGCCAGGCAACAGCTGGGCGGCTGAGCTATGCCCCTGGCCTCCCTGTCTCAAATAAAAAACAACAAAAAGTTTAATTGTAAAGGTGATTGTAATCCACCCCTGGCCTCCCTGCCATGTAGCTACTGAGTGTTTAAATGTCACTGACTTCTAATACAGCTGCCATTAAAAATTGGTCATAACATTTTTCAGAATTACCATTACTGAAGTAAGTTACATAAGAAAAATACATGTGAGTTCTATTCCTGGTACCAAGAAAAAAAAAAAGAACAAAAAGAAAAATACGTAAGTCTTATGTGTAGCACTCTGGTTACATTTATATACATTCATGTAACCTTCACTCAGATGACAATATAGTGTGTTTCCAGTAAATATCTCCCAAATGTAATGATATTAAAATACAAGTAAAATTACTACCATAAAGCCAAATTAGAAGTATTTCTACATGAATATGTCTTTCTTCCTGAAAAATTAATTGTACTTTGCTGAGAAACATTAAGAATTTGACCAGAAATATTTCCCAAAGGTAATCTGTTACGATGAGAAATACATTTTTGGTGTTATTTTTCTGAAACAATAGATACTTGTATATTTAGTCATAAACATAAATGAGATAGATGGGCATGGTGGAGCACGCTGTAATCTTAGCAATCAGGAGGCTAACGCAGGAGGATCTCTGCAAATTTGAGTCCAGTTTGAGCTACAGAGTGAGTTCAAGGCCTGCCTGAACTGCGTAATGAGACCTTGTTTTAAACAAAACAAATTAGACAAATCTGGGGAAAAATCCCACAAATGAGTCTTTATCCAGGAGTAGGCTCTCATTGGTTGGAGGTATGTTTAGAATTGTAAAAGTAAAATGAACAGCTCAAATAAAGCAGTCTGGTTCATGGCTTAGTATAATAGGCTATGAACCTAAATTTGTATAGAGTTTCCTAATTGCAGTGGAGCTGTTGTTTAAATTACTTTTTTTTTTTTTCATCTCTTTTAGGAACAGTGACCACATTTTTTTTTCTGCAGACATATTGGATTTGGGGCTTTTTCCTAGGGTGACATTAAGTACTTTCTGTTTGTGATTATAAACAGTTTGAGGGACAAACCAGATATACAGGAAGGGACCTAAGTGGTTGAAGTTTATTTATTCTTTGCAATAATATTCTGTTCCCTGTGATTTTTAATAAAAATTTAATCTCTTCCCACCTCCAGGATTCTTACCGAAAACAGGTGGTTATAGATGGTGAAACTTGTCTATTGGACATTCTGGATACAGCTGGACAAGAGGAGTACAGTGCCATGAGAGACCAATACATGAGGACAGGCGAAGGCTTCCTCTGTGTGTTTGCCATCAATAATAGCAAATCATTTGCAGATATTAACCTCTACAGGTATTAGGAACATTGTTTTTTCTGAAAGGATGGTCATAGGGTGTTCAGAAACTTTGTGGGGAAATGAGGATACCATATTAGGCAAGATGCAGCGTTTTTATTATGGGAAGAGTTGGTTTCAAGGTGTTTGACATTAAGAATTAGGTTATTCCTAAAAGCAAATACTGAAAAACATATATTTTTATTTCATGTTGTTACTGTAATGTTTGATCATACATAAATGAATCTTGCTATGGAGAATAGTACAGAACTAGAGGTGTTGCGATGAGAGGTCACAGAGGAACTTCATGGAGGAAAATATGTCTGAGAATTATTCTTTGCTAAGACAGGATTTCACTGTGTAGTACAGGCTGGCCTTGAACTCAGTTATGTAGCCCAGGCTGGCCTCAAACTCATGTGATCCTCCTGCCTTGGCCTCCCAAATCCTGGGATTACAGGTTACAGGTGTGCACCACCATGCCTGGCTTAGCAGTTTTTTTTTTTGAGGCAGGGTCTCACTATGTAATGCAGCTGACCTTGAAATCACTTAAGTAGCCCAGGTTGGCCTCAAACTCAGGGCAAGCCAGCTTCACTTCCAATTCTTTTCTGTCTAGAAATACTTTTCAGTGGAGTTAGTCCTTCCTTTCTGAAGGTGTTACATGCTCAGATTTGGACAACCTCTGGGAAAAAATTGATTCCGTAGTAAATATAGATAGACTTTTTATTAGTCCCTAAATAGTGTACTATAAAAACTATTTACATAGGATTTACATTATATTAGGCATCATACATAATCTAGAGATGATGTAAGTGTACGTATTATATGCAAATAATACACCATTTATGTAAGACATGCCCATCCTCAGGTTTTGCTGTTTTTGGTAGGGGTGGTATCCTAGGGCCCATTTCGCGTGGACACTGAGGAACAGTTGTACTCAGTGTAAGTTCTCAACACTTGTAAACATTTGTTGGCTTTCTAGAAGTCTTTTTATAAGGAATTTATGCACATAGTATAGCAAGATTAAAAATTAATGAAAAATGGGCTGAAGCATCAAGGGAAAAGCCAGGCATGGTGGTACATGCCTGTAATCGCAGCACTGAGGAGGCTGAGGCAGGAGAATTGCTGCCCAACCTGGGCTACATAGTGAGTTCAAGGCCAGCCTAGACTACATAGCAAGACCTTGTCTTTAAAAAAAAAAAAAAAAAAAAAAAGTAGCTGAAAGATTAAATAACCTGTATGCTGCAAGCAAATTAGTTGCTCAGAAAAGGGCAAAATTGTGCTGACAGCAGAAGAAAATTCTCCCTGATCCTTGAAGAGAATTGTAAAGAACAATAGTAATCTGACAATACATGGTTCAGGTACTTTAGGTTGTCTTAAAATATTCCTTAATGTAGGCTGCCATCCTGAGGCAGGAGGATTGCTGCGAGTTCAAGGCCACCCTGAACTACAAAGTGAGTTCAAGGCCATTCTGAACTGCATAATGAAACCCTGTCTCACAAAGACAAAATGTAGGCTGCTTTCATGATACCAGTGCACAGTTCTGCAAATAGCCAATGAAAAGCAGCACAGTACATGACTATAATCCAAAGGTAGGTGTTAGAGCATTACTGTGCAGTATGGTAAACAACTAGATGTGGTTGTTTACACTTAAATTAAAATTAAGTCAAATTGAAAAATTAGTTCATTGGCCGTATTTACAACTGACTTTTTTTTTTTTTTTTTTTTTTTGGTACTGGGAATTGAACTCAGAACCTCGTGCTTGCCAGGCAGGTACTGTGCTGCTGAGCTATGTCCCCAGCCCCTACAACTGACTTTTAAAATGCTCATGGCTACATGTGACTAGTAGCTACCATGTTAGTGCAGATAGAACATTTCCCTCATTGCACCAAGTTCTATTAGGTAATGTTCAAAAGAACCAACAGCAGCTTATAAACTGCTCTTTGGTGTGTCTCATATGTCATTGAAGGAGGTGCTGTCTTTTGGAGTTGTGCATCCTGCAACCACCCATTTCCTTTATTAAGAGCAGTTCTGATATTTCCTATTATATATTTTAGACTTCCAGCTATAATTTTGCTTGAAAAAAATACTTAGTACCACCCATTTTGAAAAGTGGGTAGATTATCTTCCATTAAAAACTATTAACTCCAAGGGAATTTCAGTAAGGGGTTTAAGTCAGAAAGCTTTACTTTTTATACTTCAGACATCAGAGTCTGATTTCTGGTTGCCACTTGAATCCAGAGCCATGCTCTGAAGAGTCCCAACAGCCTGACAAAAGCATGTGTCAGGACAGGTTAGCCACCCCGTTTCATTAGGAAGTGAACTAGCCTATGGCTCCTCTGTCAAGTCTCAGCCAGTCTTTGTATACAAGGTTCTTTTAAGTGGTCAAAAAATGAGAAGCTCAAAATAGAAACTAATAGGGCTATGTAAAACCTGCCCGTTTCTCGTTTCTCTTTGCCTTACCAGTCTATTCCTTTCCAAAAACTTGTCTTTCTTATGATAACATATTCCCTGTTTCAGGGAGCAGATTAAACGAGTAAAAGACTCAGATGATGTCCCTATGGTGCTGGTAGGGAACAAGTGTGATTTGCCAACAAGGACTGTGGATACAAAACAAGCCCATGAATTGGCCAAGAGTTACGGGATTCCGTTCATTGAAACCTCAGCCAAGACCAGACAGGTACGGTAGGGCTTCAAGAATCTGCAAGGGTTTAACCCCTTAACAGTTTATCCCAAGGGTCACTGGGGCAGTGCATTTGTTTACATACTGACTGTCCTGAGTGCCACTTGGGCAAGTGTCATTTAAACTAGTTGATTTTTGTATCAAATAAATTTGGTAAAATTGTTGTCTATATTTCCTGTTATATTAGCTTGTAAAAATTAACAAAAAATACAGTTTTTGGTCAAATTCTGTATTTAAATAATTGGACTGGACTGGTAAGTGGTCAAGGCTGAGACGTTTTAATTCTTATGTTTGCTGTACATAACAGTTAATATTTGTTTTGGGGGATTGGTATATATATTATATTTTTCATATCTAGATCATTTTTGATCCTTCTACTACCTTCTAACTCCCCTTCCTTTGATCCTCTTTCCGTACCTCCAAAAAGTCTGCCTCCCTCTTTGCTACCATCTTTCACCTTTACTTTACACTTTGTTTATATTTTGGGTTCTCGTACAAAGAAATCATACAGTATTTATCTTTCCTTGTCTCATTTATTTCACTTAATGTTACGGTCTCAAGAGCCATCCATTTTCTTCCCAATGACATTTCATTCTTTATGACTGAAGAATAATCGTATCACATTTTTTTATTGATGGCCATCTAGTTTGTTTCCAGAGCTTAGCTATTGTGAGTTGTACTGCTATAAATATGAATATATATGTATCACTATAAAATGGTAGTATACTTTTGTAGTCTCAGCTACTTGAGAAGCTTTAAGGGGTAGGGTTGCTTGAGTCCATGAACTTGAGACCAGTCTGGGAAACATAGTAAGACCCTTTCTCAAAATAATTTTCTATAAGCATTAATCCTTTTGCTATCAACACTGAGCAGGCACTGTTTAAGGTTTAATCCCTCATGAGTGGAATCTTTAGATTTGGAGGTTCTGTTCTGTGTCTCTCCCATTACCATTTGTATTTTGCTGGACTTTTTTTTCCCTCCAAAATATGCCATTGTTGTATTAGCCTGTTGATGTGACTAAATAGGACTGTTAAACTTTTGGTGTCCTCTTCCTACGTCACCTTTTTTTTTTTTTTTAAATTTTGGGGCAAGGTCTCACTATGTAGTTCAGGCTGAACTTGAACTCACTATGTAGCCCAGGCTGGCATCAAACATGGTGATCATCCTACCTCAGCCTCCTGAGTGCTGGGATTACAGGCATGCACCAGCACACCCAGCTGAGTCATCCTATTAGCTATATTGTAGTAACTGGAATTTTAAATCCATATAAAGAAATATAAATGAAAACTTACCATGTGGATTGTGTCAGTTGAGCCAGGCTTTCAGAGGAAAGGATTCTTTCTTCTTTCATAGGGTGTTGAAGATGCATTTTACACACTTGTAAGAGAAATACGCCAGTACAGAATGAAAAAACTCAATAGCAGTGATGATGGGACTCAAGGTTGTATGGGGTTGCCATGTGTGGTGATGTAACAAGGTAAGCATGTGGTCTGTTGACATAAGTATTATTTAGCGTGAGGCAGTTGGGAGGAGTGTCAGTGTTACTTCTCTGTTGCTATTTAACTGTGTCTTTGTATTTAATTATATCTCCTTTCTGAGAGTACTAAGGTCTAACCTTAAAACATTTAATTATTTTACATAAATATATATATATATATATAACTACTATTTACAAAACATATTTGTACCATATTCTTTTGCAGAATCACTACATAGAAAGGATAATGACATGATGTTTGTCCCTTTTTTATAGATATTTACAAAGTTGTATTGTCAGAAAAGAGCCACTTTCAAGGTAGGATAGATTTGAAAATGTACTGTCAGTTCCAAATAAGATAAGAGTTCGTAAACTAGTTTGTCTCATGCTCTGTGTGCCACTTACACACACTCCGTCTTTCTTTCAGCTGCACTGATACGCTGGTCCTGACTTCCCCGGAGGAGAAGTATTCCTGTTGCTCTCTTCATCTCAGAGAAGCTCCTGCTGTTTCCCCACCTCAGTACACGAGCATCGTCTCTACTTGAGAACTTCTCAGAATAACTACCTCCTCACTTGGTTGTCTGACCAGAGAAATGCACCTCTTGCTCATTCCCCAGTAGTTTTCTGCCCTGGGCTCTCCCCAACAAAAACAACCATCTCTGCCACCCAGGTTTTTCATCCACAAAGCAGCTCTTGCTCTGAAACAGAACCAAACTGTAGACTGAAATTCTGTTAAAAAGTTTCTGGGAGTCTAAAGTAGCAACCGCTGGTTATTTTTATTTCCTTTTCATTTTCAAACTTGGGGCCTATGTTAGATTTTAGAGAAGTGTCATTAATACTGTTTTGCCAAGAATATAATTATGTTGCTGAATGGTTGGTTTATAGTGTTATCAGCTATGTTCTACAAACTGGCATCTGCTCTGTATTCTAAAGTACAAAAGTGAAGCCAGGTATTGTGGCATATGCCTATGATCTAAACTATTTGGGAAGGGCGGGGGATATAGCTCAGCGGCACAACCTCCTGCCTAGCAAAGCGCAAGGTCCTGAGTTCAATTCTTGGTACCAAAAAAATAAATAAAAAAACCAGTAAACTATTTGGGAGGCTGAAGCAGGAGGATCACAAGTTCAAAGGCAGCCTGAGTAATTTGGTGAGATCCCATCTCAAAAACAAATGAATTGGCTAGGGTAGTTTAGTATTAGAGCACTCCTCAGTTCAGTCCTGACTACTGAAAAGAAGAAAAATGGTAAATGCAAAAGTGAATACTGACTTCTGAGTCTATCCTGGTCTTCTCAACTTTTATGAAGTTAAATCCAATTTTGACAACAAAGTGCCTTTTTCCTAGAAATGGTTTGTAGACTTCCTTTATAGTACTTAAGTGGAATTGAGGACTCAGCCATTAAATATGAAAATATCTATGACCCATCTGTCTTTGAGGGAAAGATATACCTGTATAATAGCAGATGCCATTTCTTACACATATGAAGATTGTTTTCCAGAGGCCTGTTTTGGGTTTTCCTCAGAAAAAGACAGAAGTAGAAATGATGATGAATAATTTCCCTCAATTTTTATCTAATTTCTTTTTTACAGGTTACTGTCTATAAATATATAATTTATTTCTTCCAGACTATTGATAAATTCCAATCAGACCAGAAGGCTTACATTTGCAGTTATTCCAGTATTGTAAAAAATTGGTGTTGGCTTATTTTATATCTGTGATTGGTGATTTTTAAGCCTCAAATACATGGACAGGCAAATTATATTTTCACTACATATCATATTCTTACTGATGTACGCAACTGCCCTCAGTCCCTTTCTCTGGTCACTCTCTGCCCCTCGTCCCACGGCAGCAGGAGCTTGATTGATTGTTTCAGCTGAGTAAGGCATAGTGCTCGTGGGCCAGGATCACTGCTTCAAAACTTGAATAAGCCGGCTAGCATCATTTGCTCATAACTCCAATTTTGCTGGGTGCCTGCTGTCAGCCCTGCAGGGAAAAAAGAGGTCAGTTAGCATGAGTGCTTTACTGGGACTGGAAAAGCTTGGTATCCTAAGGAGGCTCAGGTTAAAAGACTATAAATAAAGTATTTAGAAACCTTCTCTTTTTGTTAGCTATAGGGAAACAGCATGTATATTTCTCATTCTTTTGAAAATAAGGATGCTCAGATTTTTTTAAGTTTTAGTTTTTGTTTGGGGAGGTATTTTTTGTTTTTGTATGTAGCTGTGGTTTTTGGTTTAGTTTGTTCGATTTGTTTAGTTTTTCTGAACTGGGGATTGAACTCAGCCTTTGCACTGAACTATAATCCCCAGCCTTTTCATATTTTGAGCTGGGGAGGTCTCACTAAATTGCCCAGGCAGGACTCAAACATGCAGTCCTCCTGCCTCAGCCTCTAAGAGTGCTGGGATTACAAGCATATATCACCATGCCCGACTCTCAAATCAAATTTTTTTAAAACAATTTTATTTATAATGTTCTTTAAAGGGTTTATGTTCATAAATTAGCCTGCATTTCAGAAAACAAAAGCTGATGAATTTGTTCAAAACAAGAAGTAGCCTTTGGATTGAATTGCTATTTGAGGAAAGAATTAAAAATGTAATTAACTTGTTACTTAATGAGGATATGGAAGCTTGGTATTTCTCTTTGCAAATAATGCCCTGGTAATTTTATCCCCTTTTTTGTGGTACTGGGGATTGAATCCAGAATATTGCACATGCTAACTGTTCTATTCCCGAGCAGTCTACCCATGAGCTACGTGCCCATCCCTGGTAATGCTAATGAAAAATGTATAACTGACGATGAAAGACTGATTCCAAAATGGCTATTTCTGTTCTAATATCTAAATACTTAGAGCTCTTCTATCTCCTAATATGAATTTTCATTTATTATGCAAATTACACATTACCTTGAAATTAATTTAGAAGACGGGAAAAACATATACTGTGCTCAGAGAACAATAAACCCAGAGAGCTGTGCTCCTAGTGCCGGGAGCATTCACAGTAGGGCTGACAGCTGTGAGTGAAAACCGTGCTGCCCTTTTTTGAGCATTTCTTGGTCATTTTCCTGAGGAAGATTGAGGTTATCACCTCCGTCATACTCTCCAGTTTCTGTGTGACTGGTTTTAAGTGTCTTTTGTGACTAGCAGTCTAACCTTTGCTAAAACTTTACTAAATTCAACACCAAATTAGGGAGAAAGATAGTTACCCCTTAGGCTCTTGTGTTCTTCGCCCGTGGATGTGTGCATCTATAGTTCTGTCAAATATGTTCCAAGCACAGAAGAAAAGTATCCAGACGGGGCCAGAATTTAAACTTGAAAACGGTCCTTTAATGGCTTAAGTTACACTTTGGCACAACAGAGTGACAAACTTAAGTGTTAAAACCTGAGTAAGCTCCGTCAGTGTGGCACAAAATGTAGTTCGTGGAGTATGTTTGCGATTGCTGAAAATCTGGTTTACCTCAGAATCTCAAACTCACTTTCCCCGGTCTAAGTGCCTGGCCAGCTGTCAGAAGTTACATAATTCCTTCAAGATTTAGTTGTATGTGTGTAGTTTTTTTTATAAGCTTGCACATTGGAGAGTGTGAAAATAAGATGATGTATCTAAAGGCTACCGTGCCTAACCTGAACCTGTTCAGTGCTGTATCTGCTCCAGTAGTCTACTACGGAATGCTAACTTGGTAAAATACTTGTTACACACTTGGTTCTGTAGGAGTGTAAACTTAAACTGTGGTGGCACACGCCTGTAGCCCCAGCACTCGGGAGGCTGAGGCAGGAGGATCATTGCAAATTTGAGGCCAGCCTGGGCTACAGAGTGAGCTCAAGGCCAGCCTGAACTACATAGTGAGACCCTGTCTCAAAAAGACAAAAAAAAAATCTGTTTTAGTCCCTGGTCTAATCTTTCATCATCTTTTAAAGTGCTGTGAATTTTGTCATGACTTCAAAACAAAGATAGACAAGAACTTTGAAAAAGAGATTTGGGGGTTTTTTGTTCTGTTCCCAAATTCTTGAGCACAGTCCTATTTTGCTTTGGATTTACAGTCATGAACTCTCAAGCTGGCAGCTACAACCAAGAACCAAAAAATGGTGCATTCTGCTTCTTGTAATTCATCTCTGCTAATACATTGTAAGAAGCAAAGCTAATTGGGAAAATATTTTATTTGAATGGTTTCTATAAACAAAAAGACTATAAGACTTATACATATTATTCATGTTTGTCGTTTCTTTAAGCAGTCTAATGTGCCACAAAATTATTTTAAGGTATTTGTTTTCTATAGGAATTGTTTTAAAAGTATGCTTACCAGATCACTTTTAGATATGTTTCAACATATAACTGATTTTTAATGTCCAAGTACTGACCCAAGAAGCAAGTGTTTGAGCTCTACTGTGGAGGGAAAAGAGGGTGGAGTACGACTTACATTTCTGTGCCATCCAGTATACTTAAAAATATCAGTTGTGCAATTCTGCTGTTTAAGTGGGAACTGTTGGCCTTCTGGGCCCTAAAAGAAAAGGGCTGATATTTTAAGTTGATTATTTTAATGTAAATTAATCCATCCTAATTTTTAAAAATTGATTGAATGTTTTTCCTGTTAAATAATGTTTAAAAATAAAAACTGGAAGTACTTTGTGTAGTCACAATTCTTTTCCTCCCCGAGTTTCTTTATAGGAAGCTAATACTGTTGGATGTGGTGGTGCAGGTCAGTGATCCCAGCACTCAGGAGCCTGGGACAGGAAGATCACTGCAAGTTGGAGGACAGCCCAAACTACATAGAGAAACCCTGTCTCAAAAAAGAGCCAAGTGTGGTGGCTCATTCCTATAATCAGAGCACTTGGAAGGCTGAGACAGGAAGATCCCACCGAGTTCAAGGCCAGCTTGGACCACCTAGTGGGATCCTTTTTTTTTTTTTTTGGTACTGGGCAAGGAACTCAGCACCTCCCACTTGCCAGACAGGCGCTATGCCACTGAGCTATATCCCCACCCTGACCCTGTTTTTAAAAAAATATATATTTATTTTAGACTTTTTGAGTTAGTATTGGAAGAATTGAGCTCCTCATTTTTTATTTCAATACACTGTACTCAGATTTTGCTTTCTATAGTTTTAGTTACCTCAGGGTCCAAAAATATTAAATGTAATTTTACAGAAATATGTAATTCATAAATTTTAATTGCTGTCCCTTCTGAGTAGCTCAGAACGTAAATCAGGCCTTCATCCAGTGCTTCCACACTGCGCTACCTGCCCAGTAGTCATTTTGCGTGCTTCTGAGAGTATCAGTGGAGTTTCTGCAGTTCTTAACATTTAACCCTTCAAAGTGCGAGAATAATGGTGCTGTAATTTTATTGTACAGTTATAGGGTGGTACCTTGGTTCATGAAATCAGTTATTTCAATTCTGGTTGTAAACCGAGTAGGATGAGAACCAAGTCAAATCCAGCGGTTAGGTTCAGTGTTGGACTTAGAGGGAAATCTGGTTTGTTTCTCATTCAGTTCGGTTTGTAACCAGAATTGTGGAGAGAATTGGGTTTGTGAGTCAAGGTACAACTATAATGGGTTTTTTATTGTTCGGTTTGGTAGTGGGGGTTGAACCAGGGCCTTGCACTGAGTTACCTCTGCAGCCCTTTTGAAGATTTTTAAATTTTGAGACAGGGTGTCAGTAAGTGGCACAGACTGACCTTGAACTTGGGATCTTCTTGCTTCAGCCTCCTGAGTGCTGGGATTCCAAGCATGTAACACCTGGTCAGCTATTTTTTTCTACCTAATTATTAATTTGTTTGGTTTTGGTTTTTTGAGACAGGATCCTGCTTTGTAGTTCAGACTGGCTTTGAACTCACTCTCTAGTGAGCCATCCTGCCTCAGCCTCCTAAGTGCTGGGACTACAGGCATGTGTAACCATGCACGACCTAGCTATTAATTTCTTACTGTGCCTGCTTTACAAAGATGTATCATAGGTATGTACATATAGGAAAAAGCAGTATAAATAGGGTAAAAATACAGTGGCTGTCATGCAGTCAGTAAACTTTTGGTGTGCTAGCGAACCAGTGGCACGTATGCCGCCACAGGCTGTTAGCACTGAAAGCTCCGGAAGTTCCCCATCGCTGCATTAGAGGGTCTTGGCACAGGTCCCTTGTGGGTAAGTGAGGACTACAGTAAAAATCTACTAAGACTTGCTTTGAACTGTTACCTTAGGAATGATTCATAACTGTTAAATTCTCATTTTTTAAGAGCCAGGCAAGGAATGATATGTGTCTAATCCCAACTACTCAAGCTGAAACAGGATTGAAAGTTCAAGGCCGGTCTGGGCAACTAGCTCAAAATACCAAAAACTGGTGAGGTAGCTCAGTGGCAAAGCACTTACCTACAGCCCCCGGTGTGGACAAAGACTGTCATACATTCATGTGAAGTACTGACTATGGCTGGGAATCTCTGGGTCTGTCTGTGCATCACTGCCTAATCCTACAGTTGGTCTGGTTGGAAACACATTGGTGTGGGAGCCAGAGAGCCTGGGTTGCAACTATAATTTTACTGCTCTGGCCTATATTTTGTTTTTATTTTAAAAAGAATAGTAAATGAGAAACAAAAAATAGAATAGCAGCATACCAGTATCACAAACAAACCAAAGCAAGAACATTTAAAGGGCTTCAAGACAAAATAATACCTACCAGTTAACAGTGGTTGTTACATTACATATCACTATCCTCAGCTGTGTTGCTCAGATTACCAGGTGTAAGACTGGAAGATTGTTCAAACCATTAAAGAGAATAAGAAAATAATTACAGATAAAACATTAGAGTGGCCTATATTTTCTTCATTTGCAAAATAGAATAATTCAAATTATGATACCTGATTTTTCAGCCCTAATTAAGGAGATACAGTTATGAAGGAGTGATCTCAAATGTAGGCTTTATTATACATTATATGAATAATATACAATAAGAATACTGTGGTTACAGAAAACTTGATTTATTCTACCAAAGACAATGCTTTTTTTACGTTTTTCCTTAAGATGATATGGAAGGGACATTAATGATTTGGCTGAATTTAGCTAGACGAATGTGTGTGATAAAATACTGAAATACTGTTTTCTAGATGGGGCTGGTAGAATATATATTGTAGGTTGGAAAGAGATGAAAAACTACCTAAAGAAGCTCACTGGGACTGTGAGGGGACCTCTTATGTATCTCGGCGCTGTTCAGGTTTCACTTCTCATAAAAAGCAATACTCAAGGTTATTAAAAGGTCAGCATCAGTTTGATGCCCACGAATACTGACAGGGGCCAGGAAGCCTTGCTAGAGATCATTTTGCAAAACTGCGTGTGACAAGCACCTGCCTGGCAAGCACAAGGTCCTGAGTTCGATTCCTGGTACCAAAAAAAAAAGTCAAAACTGCCTGAAAATGCTACCTAGGTAATGAAATATGGCATTTTACCTTTACAAAAAAAAAAACACAAAAATGAATTGTAACTTGTAAAATAAAATAGAGAAAAAATGCTCTTTCTCATGCCAAAGGCTTGAAATCATTTTGATTCATGAACCGGAGGCTGACCCAGTGAATTGATGCCTCTCATTGGAGACTTCTACCACGTGATTTTTTTCACTCTTGGACCAAAACAGTATTAACTACTGATGTGTGATGGGGGAGAACTTTTTTTTAATGTAGAAGATTGAAATTAGTCTCATTTTAACTACTAAAAATTTCTATGGTTATCAACTTTTGGGACTCATACAAAGTAGAAGTAGGGGCAACACCTACAACATTAGGAGTTAAAGTACTATTAAATGATTCCTATAAGCCATTAAAATGATGTTGAGGAATACATATTAACATGGAATAGGGGCTGGGGATTTAGCTCAACGGCACAGCGCCTGCCTGGCAAACACAAGGTCATGAGTTCAATTCCCAGGACCGGAAAAAAATAAAAACAAACAAACAAAAAAAACCCATGGAATAAATTCACAATTTTTTTGTGCGGCTCTTCACCAGGAATACAAGTCTTGCTAGTTTCACTTCATATTTCATCTACTGTACTGAATCCTTAGACAAATTGTAGTTTAACAGTTGGCCTTGACAATATAAATTTGTATTCATTTTCTATAATCTGTTGTACTAAATGATTTTAATAGAGAATGCAGCTGGAACAAATTCATTGCCTATTAGAGCCATAAAATGATGTAGATTGGCAGGCATAGTGGTGCATGCTTGTAATCCCAGCACTTGGGAGGCTGAGGCAGGAGGATTTCTGTGAGTTCGAGGCCAGCCTGAACTGCATAGCAAGACCCTGTCTCAAAAATAAATAAATAAATAAATAAATAAATAAATAAATAAATAAAAAGATGAGGCAGATTGAGATATCCAGGTGAGGTAAAGCAGTTTTCCAGAATGTCTGCTGTGGAAGTGATAAAATTGGTCCGAATTTTCATTAGGAACTTGAAATGTGTGAATTACGTCTGATAGTTAAGCCAGAAAGCAAACTTGCACATTTTGAACACCTTGGTAGAGTTTGGTTCTCCACATGTACAAGAATGCCTGATAAGACTTTTTTCATATCAGTGGTATAAGGTTTAAAAGTCAAATCAAGACATCTTGTTAAAATGTTTTGTTGGTTTGTTTCGAGGTGGGGTCTCACTGTACAGTTCAGGCTACCTTGAACTCACTATGTAGCAATCATCTGCCTCAGCTGCCTCGGTGCTGGAATTACAAGCATATACCACCACACCCAGCTTCAAGATCTTGTAAATTTACACATGTTTTGCCTGTAAAATTTGAGGAGTTTGACATTTAATATTCAGGTCCAAGTTATGCTAATAACGTGTTTGAATATCTTGTACTAGTCAGGAAATGCCCCCAACTAGTCCTGGTTCTGTTGGACAACAGTGAGAGACAAGACCTTATTCAGGAGGCCAGTTACAGGGCTTTCTCCTGAAATCATTTATAAATCATTTTTAGCACTCTGTAATATGTTGAAATCACACAAACATTTTTCAGGACAGAACAAAGCCCTAAGAAATGTCTAGGACATACCTAATTTGTGTAAGTTCTATAAATATCAGACTCATACTTCATTTATTAGCTTATCCTCAGTATTCCACAGGGCTGTCACAGGGTAGAAACACACTAGTGGGTAAAATTATGGCCTACCAGTCAAGCCTCTTATATAAAATGGCACAGTATTTATTTGCATATAACCTGCATATACATTGAATCACTAGATTACAGAGAATATCTTATGCAATGTAAGCGTATAAATATCCTACTATATTATTTAGAAAATGACAAGAGCATATCTACATGTTCAATATAGATACCATATAATTTCTTTTTTTCAGTGTGTGGTTGTTTGAATCCATGGGTATGGAACCCATGAATATGAAAGGCCAACTGTTCATTCTCAAAAACTTCAGTGTGTCTCCAGTGTTATAGATTAAATTGAAGGCCCTTAGCATGGTCTAATTTCTGTTCTCTTCTCATCTCTTGGCATGCACCTTCTCAAGCTCTATATTCAACTACCTGGGTCCACCTTCCTGAGCTAACTATGTTCTGAGGAATGCCTTGGATCCTAAAATAGATGTATAAGCATCTGACTTCTGGAGGCCACCAGGGGGTAAAAACATGAAATTACTAAGGTGACGCCAGAGGCCGAGGAACTTTTATTTTCCCCATAATTATATGAAGTTTACTGAATAATTCCTCAAGGTACTTTTGGTGGGGTTATTTTGTTTTGTTTGAGACAGTGTCTCACAGTGGCACCTTGGCTAGCCTCAAACTCGAGGCCATCCTCCTGCCTCTGCCTCACAATTGCTGGGGTTGCAGGAGTGCACTACCACACCCAGGTTCTCAAATTATTTTTGCATGAGGTGGGAGCAGATACTTTTCTGAAGGTGTGTTATGCACCTCATGGACAGAGTCACTGATAATCCGAAAGACACTTGTGTGGAGTCTAAGACCTGTATTGCTAAACAGTTCTGAGAAGAGATAATGCCTGTTCTCAGTAATACATAGCTGAAAATCACCTGTTGTCATTACAAATCACCTTCTAGAGCTAGAGGTGTAAGGGGTGTGCCTCAGTGGTAGACCCCTTGCCTAGTACGTGTGAGGCATCAAAAAATACTCCCTTGTTTGGTTTTCTTCATAGCATTCATTACCAAAAATTATTTTATTGATCCACACCTTTCTTTTTCCCAGGACAAGTCTGGTTAAATTTTCAAAAGTTAAAACTGTACAAGTAAGAACATGCACACGTTCAGGTGCACATGCCCATGTGTGTGTTTTTTGCAAGCTTGATGAATGTACCAGCGTATTCACCAACCGCCAAGAGCCCTTCTCATGTTGGGAACTCTGTGGGTCTTCATTTTTCAGACACCTGGAGGACTTCCCTGTATTTCAGTAGAAGGGAAAAATAAGGGCTACATCATGTCAGAAAACTGCCCTTGATGTGAATCCAGTCTATAAGAATATGTGGAGGTATTGAAATGCAGCTCCTGGCCCACTACAAATATCTTTTCTAAAACTGCAAAATAAAGGTTAAAAGGCTTCACCTGTTTTTCACTGTCAATTGCCTAAAGCTATAAATAGGTCCACAGCTCATGTCTCCTTTTAGCAGAAAAGGGTCAAGTTACAGGGGGCAAGGCAAAGTAATAAAATGAGAGTCAGGATATTTTATAGTGTCACTCAGCCATCCCACAGTCCGTGTCTCTTCCTATCTGCTGTGCTAGCCTAGAGCCAAGGATCCCAGAAGCAATGCCTCTGTTCAAACTTGCAGGTAGGTGTGGAAGAGTGTTTAGAGGGCTCAATTTTTTCTCATATGCAGCCATTCCTTTTGTCATGCCAGCTTTGATAATCCTTTGTTTAGGATCCATAATAGCTTCAGTACATTTCAGAAAGAAGATATTTTCAAGTTTTTGTTTTTAGTTTTGGGAAGAAGATAATTTTCTACAACTGCCTCTTTCTTGGTCCTTAGAAAACTGAGATATTTAATATCTATTACGCCAGTGTAAATAAAATCTGTGTTGTCATAGTTCTGAGAAGGGTCCTATGCTGTGTCTCTAGCTATAAGATTAGCAAAAAATCATGAACATGACAGAAATTTTAACCCAGCCTGTGTATTCTGATAGTTCACGATCCAGCTTTATCCACAGTACAATTTTTAAAATATTTTCCATCGTGAAAGCAAATGCGTGTTTCATGAGAAAGAGAAAAAATTACACTGAAAAATAAAAATACTAATCTAGAAAAGTTGGAAAATAGTAATGAGAGCACCACAGTCCCATCATCCCATACATTCTTACTGTTTTAGTGTTTTTTCTTTTCAGTGAACTTCCCATGCAAAATAAGGACCTTTTAAAAACTGAGTAGTGTTTGTATTGCGCAGGTAATTTTATGTCCTGAATTGAGCAGGATAATGTTTTGGCTTAATACTGTAACTTAACCATTTTACCATGGTATTTCAAACTCTTTTTTTTTTTTTTTCTTTTGTATCAGGAATTGAACTCAGGACCTCGTGCTTGCCAGGCAGGCGCTGTGCCACTGAGCTAAATTCCCAGCCCCCTAAACACCATTTTAAATGGCTGCATAACATTCTAATTTTCTTAACTAATCCCTTAGGTTGTTTGCAGTTTTTTGTAAGTATAAATGTGCCCCAACAATATTTTCCATGGGATTCTATTTGTTAGGTGTTTTTAAATTGTTTACCAGATGAGTGGTTTTTAAAGTTAATTTTTAATTCACATTTTATAAAAAGTACCTTTTGGCTGGGGACATGACTCAGTGTACAGTTTATACTCAGCATACATGAGGCCTTGGGTTCAATCTCCAGCACTACACACACCAAAAAAGTGGGGAGGACCTTTTAAAATTTATGTCTATTTGTTATAAATTATGTCTATAAGTTATAGACGTAAGTTATAGACATAGTTTTAAAAGGTATAGCAGAAAGGAAAAGAAAATGGAGGCTGTGTAACGACCATGTCCCCAGTGCTTCCAAAGGCAGCAAACTAGAAGGGCTGGAGAGGAGGCACAGTCACTCCTGCCACCACCCCTGTTTCTTGTGCCAGTCCACATCCTTGTCTCAAAGTACGGCTAATGGCCACTCAGACTCATGAAAATGGTTCATATATTCTATCTTCTTTTATTTTACTTGTACAGCAGAAGAAAAACGTGAGTATCTTGGACTGTTTTTCCTGCCATTTGCCAGATTATCGAAGAAGTGATACTGTTTCTTAATTCAGAAACATGGTTGTTTTTCAGCAGTATTTAGTAAATGGTACTATTGAAAGTCAAGAAAGATTAGCAGTGATTCTAGATATCCCATATCGTAGCAAACAAATCCATGGCTTTTCTGGATTACAAAAATTAAAACCAAAACTAACCCTGCTATTTTTTAAGAAAACCTCATAGGGCACTTACTTGAAATTCCGAAATAAGGTAGCCAACGGGGGACAATCTTCTATTGAATATTGCCTTGGTTAATCCTCAACTCTAAGAGGAAAAAAAAAGTGCTGTGAATACATAAAATAAGAATTTATTTTAGATAAAACCATGACCTTAGTTATATGTTCCCCTCCACCCCAATTGTACTTGTCCTTCTGACAGTACAATAAGGGAGATGAGTTCTGGAGTTCCTCCAGGACGAGATGTAGCCGATGGAAGGCCAACAACCTTGTCTTCTTTACACACTAAAAGGACTGCTGAGAAATAAGCATATTTTTCTGGATCTGGTGGGTGAAAAGCAAGCATGGTATTCCTTTTCTCAAGAGTCGTACACTTCCTATGTTAATAATTCCAGTTTCTGGAGAGTACTATGTAGTTTTTAAAGTATTTCTTTTTTTATCTTCCCATCGACTCTCTGAAGAGTTATTATTGCTAACATTCTTCTTCTCTGATGATGAACACAGAGGCTCCCAGTAATTACATGGTCTGCCCAAGGCCGCACAGCTGTCATGGTTACTTTTCCCTTTCCCTCACTCCTAACGTCTTTCTGCTTTGCTCTCCTCCTCTTCCTCTTCCTCCTCCTCTCACTCCTCTTCCTTTCTCTTCTCCTTTCTCTCGTCTATTCTTTCTCCAAATGCATATGTCTTATCCTCCAGACATTGCTACTCCGATGTTCCATTATCTCTAACAACATGTCTACAATACAGTTATTTCTATACAACCCTCAGGGGATTATTTCCCCTTTACTTCCTGAATTCAGGTTGTCATTAAACTTTATCTACTCAACTTTTGAAATACCAATTTCACTCCTCCCATATTACCACCACTCCCTGAAGTATTTTTAAAGGCAGAACTCTTGAATTAAGGATCAAATTTCAGCTGTGGTTGCATAGTCAAATAGCTGGTTGTTGATTCAGTGGAAGGAAATATCAACCGTATAATTTTCTGTCATCATGTAAACCATGCGAGAATAGAATTTCTACTTTTCAACTGTGGTAGTTTAGGGAGGTACAATCTTAGTAAAAACAGTAACGTTTAAAGGTATGAAACAATGAGTGTGTAGCTCTATGGTAGAGTGCTTAACTAGCATGTACAGGGCCCTGGGTTCCATCCCCAGTACCATAAAAAAATCAAAAACAAAAAGTATGAAACAAATGGATATTTGTCACACATAATGAATGCTGGTTCTGGAAGAGCCAGGTATCGAGCAAATACCATTTGGTTTGTGGGCATCTGTGCCCAGACCACTCTTTCTGAGGTCATCAGCATTGCCAGAGCACAGCATGACAAGCCTGTTGCTTTGTCATGCTGCTTCTCATCCTCATAACCAGCTGGCCTATTCCCCTTTGCCCTTCATGATGCATGAAGCTTCTTCGCACTCCTGCTTGCACTCATCTTTGAGATGCACGTGCCTACTTGTGAATGATGCTATTTCTGGGGATGGGTTGGCGGTGGTTGGGAGGTATTCTCAGCCATCAGTGTACCTATTTAGTGTTCTGTTTGTTCCTTCGTGGATTGTCATGCTTGCCAGAGAACCACTAATAGCATCCAAAGATGCTTTTCAGTTTCAGGAAGTGTTTGGGTCTAGCGAGGCAAACAGATGCATGCAGTTCGGCCAACATAGTGGGCTTTACAGTTAACTCTGCCGTGACAAGGCAGGACTTTAAAACTGGCTGACCTGTTAGTGCTGGTGAAGTGACAAATGAATTGCTATCATTTCCAATGTATGCTTCATCCTATACTAAAAAGTCATATCATTTATCGTTTCCTTAATGGTTCAAAGTTAACTCCTAATACAGAACATGTGTTTGACCACACCTACCAAATTCTATCATTCAATTTAATTTGATGTTTTATTTTCCTTAAAGCATGGCCACATACTCTATCTCACTAAGTGTCACAATAGCCTTGTGAGTAAGGTTGGGTAGATCTTAGTATCCCCAGGGCTTGAAGTCACTCCACCTACGTAAGTCAGACTGGGAAATGCGGTCTTTGGAGGCCTGCATAGACACTGAGGTCGTGGAGGGATATTTTCCCTGTACACGCTGTGCTCTGCCCTCCTGTGGGGGAATGCTTCTGGCTCCTGTTTGCCCCCAAATAGATAGCTGTTAGCCATTTTCATTATTGCTTACCACCTCTTGTCCCGAAATACAAGAGGCCTTAAGAAGTATTAGCGGTGATGACTATTCGGCTGTAAATACAGTGAATCTTAACAGAAAAGCAGATACTTGATGACCTTCACCACCCTGCGTGATGAGACTGGTTCTCTTATATCCTGGGGGTCTTGGGCATTGCCCAAGGCTAAGGGTGAACCCCACGCCGTTTAAAAAATGGGGAAAAAATAGGCTAATACATGAATTTGAGGCCAGCTTGGGGCTACCAAGTGAGACTGTTAAAAAAATGAGGAAAGGAAGAATAATAATGGAAAAATTAAGGCTTGTAAAAGTAAACTGGTCTTCCCATGGTCATTCACTAGGGGAGGCTGCACAGGAAGTGGGACTCCTAACACATCATCATAAACTTCAGCGGCTCCCTTCCCCCACATAACAGTATGCTGTATCATCGAGTTGTCAGGATTTGAATGGTGTGGAGTTTGATGTGTGAGAGAAACACACTGTCTTCAGAAGAAGAAAGCCCTGGAGCACACGTTTATTTCTCAGAAGTACTGATTTCCTAGTGACCACTGGGATCACTGGTTCTCCTTAGGAAAAACAAAACCAAAAATTCCAAGGCCCAATAGCTGTATCCAAAGCCACCTGAAAGACTACCGACCTATTGGGAAGGACTGTTGCATGATCACTCATATCAAACAAGGCCCTGCCAGAACCAGATGATCTTACACTAAGTATTGGCTCTATGAGGCCCCAAACTTCCTTTAAGACACACCAGAAATGCACTGTGAGACTCTGACTCATGTTTCTGAATGCAGATTTCAAAGCTACACCCAGAAAATCCACTAACATAAGAGCAGGCACCAAGCTCCGGGGTTTCAGTGAGACTGGGTGGAGAGCAGAGCAGTTATGTATCCACCACAGGGCTTAATTTTATGCCCGACACCCAGAAGACACTCAGATGAGTTTTGGAAAAGAGCTTGAATACTAATATGTGAAAACTTCTTTTAGATGTTGATGATGCAATGCGTAGCTTTGCTGAAAAAGTGTTTGCCTCTGAAGTCAAAGATGAGGGAGGCCGTCATGAAATTTCCCCCTTTGACGTGGACGAGATCTGTCCGATTTCTTTTCACGAGATGCAAGCACATATATTCCACAAGGAGACTCTCTCCACTCCCCTGGACGGCCGGAGGTAAGTGGCGTCAGGGGGATTCTGGGCACGTTAGCACGCAGGAGGGAGAAATGTCAGGGCAGATGTGGTCTAGTCTCTCCGAATGATGGTCCAACTCAAAGGAAGAACTCTGCCAGGTTTAGAAATTCTTCTTTGTTTCCCTTATTGTGTATGTTAGGGTAAGATACTGATGATAGAAAAGGAAGAAAGCAGGGGCCCTCCTTCCCTTATTCACATCTCCCTAAATTAAAGCCACTCTCTCTACCCTACCCACTCGAGCTACCTATGCAATTGTTCCAAACTGAGGTGGGCTGATAGCTGCTTCGAACATGCTCAACTGGTGCACAATTGTCATGTAAACTAGAATTCAAGATCTTTCATCCTTGGGGCTGGGGGTATAGCTCAGCGGCACAGCGCCTGCCTGACAAGCACAAGGTAGTGAGTTCAATTCCTGGGACTGGAAAAAAAAAGATCTTTCATCCTAGCCTGGCAAGCACAAGGCCCTGAGTTCGATTCCTGGCACCAAAAAAGAAAATAGTGAAAAACAAAGACCAAAAGATCTTTCATCCTTAGACTCTGCTTTGAGGCAAACCTTGTGTTGTGTTCCCTTACATGAATACTGTCTTCCAGCCACAGTATGAAGGTTTCTTGGCCTTAGAGATGCACCTCTCCATTTCTGCCCTGATGTCCTACCCATGATGTGTACTTACTCTTTCCCCAAATAATCTTCAGAGAGCCCTCCTAACCAAGTCCACTTTCCTTTATTTGAACTACTCTAGGATTCACTGTCACTGTTTGGTGTATTTTAGTCTTCAGACTTAAACTACTCACCTGGAATTCCTTCCACCCAGTCTTGCCCCATCTCACCAGCCACATCCTGCTTTGTATCTCTAAAGAAGCAATAAACTATCTCTCTGGAGCTTTCTCTCAATAAAACTTTCCTACTCCTAAACAAGCAAAGAAACAAGCAAAACAATAAACTACCTCCTCTGGCATCCCCCGAGGGGACTAACTTAAGCCTTATGTCAAAGTAGAAGCTTAATAAATACTTGCTGATTTCAAGAAATAATATTGATTAAGCAATGGATGAGCTGCAGATCCTATGCCCGGCATTTTACATATATGAAATCTCACAGAAATCTTATGAGGTAGCTGTTATCAAACCATTTTTTTAGATAGGGAGATGAGAGCTCAAAATTTAAGGACCATGACAAAATAACACAGGTAGTAACTGACACCATTTGTGCTCTTTGGGCCCCCCGGGTGCCTGTTTTGTTGGGAGTGAACTGCCTGGAAAGAATGGTGGCATGCTGAACATCTTCTAGCATGTTCCCTAAGTCCACTGTTCTAAGTATACACTGAAAACAAACCCTGTCAGTGTCCTTAGTGATACAGCTTTCTTCTCCCTCTGTGCTTGTATCCTGTTTCTGATGTCCAACCCACATTTTAATTTTTCACTGTTTGTCCTCAAAGCGATATGGTGAAACATCCATCTATTGTAATGAAGCCCCCAACTTAGACAAAGCTAAGTGCTCTTACTTTTTGCTTTCAAACCCAGAAAAAGGCGCTTTCAAGGGCGGAAGACCGTGAATCTGTCAATTCCACTAAGTGAAACATCTTCTACCAAACTGTCCCATATTGATGAATGCATTTCTTCATCTTCAACCTACGAGACTGTGCCTGATTTTCAGAGAGTGCAGATCACTGGGGACTATGCCTCTGGGGTGAGTGGTCCTTGTCATTCAGACACAGCTACTGGGAAACGGCTCAGCTTGACGTGTCTGGCTTCTTATCTTCCCTTTTCCCTCCCCCGCCTTTGTTATACTTCATTGTTGCTTTTCAATACAAATATAATGTTTTTTTACATTTCTGTATTGCTTTTGTCATCCCACACCATTTCTCCTCTTCCTCCTTGTTTTTCTTTTCCTCGTGGAGAATATGTAGTAGAATGCAATGCATTTCCCCAGGACACACTGTACAGATTTTGGCAGCTGGACCAAAGAGTCATTGACGGCATCATAAAGCAGGAAAGAGAGCCATGGGTCGGGTGGGGGGAGGGGAACAGGGGCTCTCGGGAAAGACGGACCCAAGGGAGGCCTAGAATAGACAGAAGGGGAACCGTACAAACCAGAGAAATAAAATCAGTAGAAAGAAAGGTAGAAGAGAAGAAAAAAGAGAACAAGATAAGAGAGAGAGAGGTTGGAAAATTCTATCGGGGTATTGTTATTTCACCGACTGACCTCTCCAATTTCACTGCAGATGCTTACCTAGTATATTATTGTTGGAACAGACTCTAGCGTATTACAGGGATAGTAAACTCATGTTACTAACAACTTGACCAGCTTGTCCTATCCAGAGCAGTTGTTCAATTAATAAATCTCTGCCACATATACTTGCAGTATCAGCATGATATTAGTGAAACTGTTCTTTAGTCATCAGTCTCTACTCCAAATATAGATTTAATGACCAGTGCTGAACCCCGTTCTCATGTATGTGACCTAGTCAGAGTAAGTCCTAGGATATTTATAAGTGCCAGAGAATGAAGTGCAAACCGTTCTTGTTTATTCTTTTTTTTTTTTTTATCATAACACAGACGCTCTGAAAATGGCAGGTTTTTAAAAGGGCAGTTTTATTTATTTATTTTTTGGGGGTACCGGGAATCGAACTCACGACCTCATGCTTGCCCGGCAGGCTCAGTTCCTGTAGAGCTAAATCCCCAGCATAGGGGCAGTCTTAGATACTAAATACTTTAAAGGAAATTTTTTAATACTGGTAAATATATGGGAAACAATTTGTAGAACAGAGTTCCAAAGAATATAAAAATTTAGAGACAAACTTGATACGTTTGTACCTAGAAATGAAAATAGGGACAAGAAAGGAAATGGGCTATCATGTCTCTTCATGGTAGCTCATTCTAAACTGTAAAGTGTATTTTTATTGTTACTTTTTCCTAGTTTTACCCACTCTGCAGAGCCTATTTTTTTCCCATACCCTTCTGGTTTTTTTCCTACCTTTGATAAATGTGAAACTTTGCCATGGTTTAAAGCAAAAAACAAAAAAGAAAGCAAATGAAGGAGGAACAAGGTACACAGACCTCAGGAGTAGCTGCTCCCCTTTGAGAGTTGGAGGTGCCTGAAATGTTGGCCCGGAGCCTTGTAAAACGAAGAGGTTGCCGTACCTGTCGGGTGAATGGAGCAGCCGGGCCGCTGACCAACACTCCAGCTGCTTCCAGTCTCTCCCCAAACCAGTCTGCACCCTCGGAATGTGGACGGAGAGGTACGGGGGAGACCAAGGCTCACGTCCCAAAGCCTTTAATCCCTGATGAGCAACTGATTCAATTCAGCCATCCTCTCCATGCCAGGCACTATGCGCTAAGTGCTGAGGGTATGAAGGTGAACAAGACCTAGCTCTTGTTCTCACTCAGGCTGCAGCCCTTGAACAAGCTCGGCCCAGGCTCTTCGTTTTATCTGGCTCTCTGAAGGGACTCTTTGACATCAGTTAGCTCTCTGTGAGGCTGGCGGCCTACTAGGTGGCAATGGAACCAGCATGCCACAGACTTGCCACCTAAGACAGATTCCTTGAGCCAGGGTCAGCAGGCTTTATAAAAATAGGTCCACTAGCCAGGCTTGGTGACCCACACCTGCAATCCCAGAACTCTGGGAAATGGGGGCAGCTGAGCAAGTTAGTGACTAGAAGACCCTTGTGTTTTTGTTTTTGTTTTTAAGTGCAGATGTAGCTCAGTGTGAAGGGCCTGGATTCAACCCTCAGTTCTCCAGGGGAAAAATTAAATTAATTAGGACCAATTTTGGTATCCCAATCCATTGAGGACAAGCTTACTGAGTCATTAATGCAGCCTGGACATTTGTGTCTTTACGCAGTTTCATCAGTTTTAGTTAACTGTGTACTCTAGATTTCTGCGTAGTTCAGACTGATCTTGAACTCACTATGTAGCTCAGAATAGTCTCAAACTCAAGACAATCCTCCTGCCTCAGCTCCCAAGTGCTGGGATTGCAGACAGGCGTATGCCACCATGCTCACTCAGGTCTATAGATTTCTTGGTGACGTCGAGACTGAGCCAATCACAAGTTCTTCTAGACCATTCCAATCTTATTTTACTAATATTTGTAACACTCAAGTCACACATCACACAATAATGTATAGATTACAGAATGCCTAGGAGCCGTCGCGGTTTACACCTGTAATCCCAGCTATTCTGGAGGTAGAGGCAGGAAGATCACAAGTTCAAGGGAAGCCTGGATAATTTAGTGAGACCTTGTCTCAAAATTTAAAAAGGCTGGGGATGTAGTTCAGTGGTAGAGCATTCCTGGATTCAACTGTCAGTACCATGAAATAAAATAAAATTTAACATAAAATAGACATGAAATGCTAAGAGGGGTTTAACTGAGGCTTGCCTCAGAACACAAAGAAGCAGAATTGAAAGCAAGGACAGAGAGCTAACTGACGTCAAGGAGTCACTTCAGATAGCAGGATAAAATGAAGAGCCTGGGCCGAGCTTGTTCGAGGGCTGGGGCTTGTCCAAGTGCAGAACGCGTTGAAAGGAGTTCAACCCACCTTTACCTCAGGCAGTTTCCATTTGGCCATGCCAAGCAGGGGGACGCAGCTGAGCTGACACTGGAGGACAGCCGGAGTTTGTAGCCTGCTGACCTCATGATGTATTCCCCAAGTGGTCTCATAAGATGAGGGGTTGGGACCAGTGTGGTGATGCACGCCCTAATCCCAGCACTCGGGAGGCTGAAGCAGGAGGATCACTGCAAGTTTGAGCCCAGCCTGGGGTACATAGTGAGTGCAAGGCCAGCCTAATCTACATAGTGATATCCTATCTCAAAATAAAATTTTAAAGAAGATGAGATGAGGGGTTGCTGTGTGTTAGATGCCCCTCCCTTTATAATGTCCAGATAAGAGGGTTTCATTATTCACTGATCAGGTGTGTCAGACACGCTCGCAGGCCTGCTTTCTCTGATGTAGCTTTGATACATCAAGGGCCCTTATGCCCCTGACTTAATCTGTAAATGTGTAGGTGGTACTTTTTATTAGCATGGTTAATTTAGCATTTGGGTCTTAATGGTTGTGTTGCTCAGCTGGGGCTGTTCTTGATAAGTTCCGTGTGTCCCACATCTGGTAGTTTTCTCTTTGCTCAGATGGAACAAGCTGCTACTTTGAAAGATGGAGCCACTTGGGGCAAGGCAGCGCTCGCAAGCTACTGTTCTGTACGTGGAGTCACTCAGCATAGGGCATAGTCTGCTCACCACACTTCAGTTGGTTCTAGAGGAAAAGTCTTTGTGCTGTGATGATGCGCATTCAAGGACTTCAGATTACGACTGCTTGGGCAGGTCTGGTCGCCAGGAGGTGGGAACGGAGGGCAGGAGAAAGAGCCCAGTTTAGGAAGTTTCCAGCAGTTCTAAGACAACTTTAGGGTAGAACCTCTCTATTTTTAGCTAGAGATAAAGTTCTCTTTTAAAATCATCCAAAAACTGGTCATGGTGGCACACACCTCTAATCCCAGCCATTTGGGAGGCTAAAGCAGGAGGGTCATAAGTCCAAGGCCAACCAGGGCAATGAGGAAGACTTTGTCTCAAAATACAAAGGGCTAGGGATGTAGCTCAGTGATAGCCCCCTGGTGCAGTCCTGTTATAATGCACACACGCAGGACTTCTCACAGGGTGATGTTCAGATATATCCAGAGCTTTCAAAGGCAATGAATGAATGAGTCTGAGGGATTTGTGACACTGTATTCATCCCAAAATATTTCCCTCACTGACCAACAAGTAGCTTGCATTCTCATAATTACGATCACATTGTCACATTGTCTTTCAGTTAAGATGGTTTTCAGAAGTCTTTTCTTTAAATGCCCAGATATTATGCACAGGTGTGGTGATACATAATTCTGGCACTCAAGAGGCTGAGGCAGGAGGATCACTGAGAGTTCAAGACCAGCCTGAGCTACATAGTGAGATACTGTCTCAACACCTGCCCCGCAAAATATGTCTAAAAGTTACATGAAAGGAAGAAAGTATATAGTGGTACATGCTGCAGTGGGCTGTTTGTATCATTAAAAGCTCTACAATGGTTTGCCATCACTGGTATATACTGTATCAGAATGGGTTCTTTTAATCATATTTGCTAGATTATCACTCACCTGTAGCAAAAACCAAAAGCAAAACAGAAGGATTGGGGGTATTTCTCAGTGGTAGAGTGCTTGCATAGCAGGGGGAAAGCCCTGAGTGTGATCCCCAGTACCACAACAAGAGGAAAGTAATGCAGGCCTATGGGGAAAGATTCACGGGGCAGGTGAGTGAGGGCAGAGAGGAAAGATCTGGGAAAGCGCCATGACCGGCTCCTGGAGGGAGACTCGGGGCCCGGGTCTGTAAGGAAGCAGCCAGCCAGGCAGGTGGGGCACAGCGAGAGGTGCCAGAAGGAAGCACCCCCTTCAGCTTTTCCCAGGATTGGCTCTGACAGTCCGACGTGTTCCCGGCAGGTAACGGTTGAAGATTTTGAAGTGGTTTGTAGAGGTCTGTACCGGGCATTGTGTATCCGGGAGAAATACATGCAGAAGTCCTTTCAGAGGTTCCCTAAGACCCCCTCCAAGTACATGAGGAATATCGACGGCCAAGCTTGGGTAGCAAATGAGAACTTCTATCCAGGTAACTTATTCCTTTATAAAATGTACAGAACGTACCTCTTGGTTTAACGACTAAGTAACAAATTTTAAACATGCCCCTAGATGGTAAGTAACTGCCCGGTCATTTGGGCCCTGTCCTCCCTGCTGCCCGTGATTATAAGCCATACAGTGTTCACTAAACTCTCTTCACCTCCCTAAACCCACATTCGCCCTGTATCTCTCCTTCTTTAAGCTATGGTGGGAGCTTCCGAATTACTCTGCTACATTTCAGCATCCCCCGTTTTCATTTCATCCTCACTTTGTGGCCAGTTATTATAACACAGATCTGAGCACACCTTTTTCCTGACAAAACCTTTAGCTGTTCCCCGTTACGTACAAACTGAGTCTGGTCTTTAGCCTGGTGTTCAGGGCACCATCTGGCCTCCTAACTGCATCTTGTTTTTTTGTACTTGCACACTCGAGTTATTTCCAAAGTAACCTCCCCACCGCTCTCTTTGCTATGGCTGGAATTCCCTCCTGATCACCATATGCTTCGATGCTTTCCTGCTCTTGTCTGTTATTGGGTGGCCCCGTTCCTGTCCCGAGATTGCCCTTCTCCTGGCTTCCGCACCCTGTGTGCCGATGTCTGCATCCATCCCGGTCTCTCAGAGCACAGGCCAAACACTATCATTCCTTGCCTGCCTCTGACTTCTGCATAAAAGTCAGCTGCTAGCCAGCACAGTGGTGTGTGCCTATAACCCCAGCACTGGGGGAGGCTGAGGCAGAAGAACTGCAAGTTCAAGTCCCACCTGAGCAATTTAGTGAGAACTTCTCAAAATAAAAAAGGGGCTGTGGATGTAGCTCAGTGGTAAAGCTCCCGTGGGTTTGATCTCAGCAATACACACACACACACACACACACACACACACACAGTAAACTACATGTGATTTTCCATAGCATTTTATTTGCAAACCTCAGTTTTTAATTTTTTGCCTTGTATAAAATGTTTTAATAGTCATATATTAATGATTTTTATTATATAACTATCACAATTGATTTAATCAATTCCTATTTTTAGGTCTTTAATTTTCTTTTCTTTTCTTTT